TATATATATACGGAAATAAACTAGACCAAAATTAATATTCTAGATAGAAAACAAAGAAAAATTATATTAATTTAATTTTTTTTTTGCCATATCATTTACAAAATGTGCATAAAATTATTCTGTGATGGTTGAAATAAAATAAAGGTGGGATGTACCCACAAAAGAGAAAAAAAAATTCATCTAATAACTAAAAAAAACCTCTTTTTTAAACAATTAATTTATAAATTATTTACATATCTATATTATACATTCAATAATTTAATTAATCAAACCCTCTATATACCAATAAATACAACAATGTATAATCAACCTACAGTCAAAATATTAACCAATATATTAAATAAACGTAGACAACAATACCAATATGATTTTTAGCTCATAATATTTATTTTGACCTTTTCTCATCTTATTTCTAAAGAAAGTAGGCAATCAATGCTTTATAAACCGTCTCTTATTGAGGCCTAATGAGTAGTGTTGATTCCATTGTTCTTGTTTGATCGATGAAAATGAAGTACAGCGTAGGCCTATTCTTGCTTCTTGATAAATAAGCGGCTATACTTAAATTTGGATGGGTTTTCGAATATCAGTGTAACATTGGCAAATTAATGTAAAATAGTTATTCATCTTTGACTAAAATAATGTACAAAGTTTGCATATTCTATCAGTAGATACTTATCTGGTGAAGTTTTTTTCCAAAATGAAAAGTAGCCTAATTAGACAATAATCTACTAACAAGTTTTCTCAAGATACGGAAAAACGTGCCGCTACACTTAGGTAAAATTATTATTCCAATCGAATTAACGAATAATTTTGTGATAACGTCTATCCTAAGTTTTGTGCTGTATATTAATTGCATTGTATGTTGCATCGGTTTTCGGCTTATATCGAAGTTTGTTTTATCAAACAGTTATATCAAAATAAATGATTCAAACATGATTCATTATCACAAAAGTGTTCCAATGCCTTCCGTAAAATCTGTAATAATTACTTTAAACCCCATTATTAGAGGGTGAGTCTTCTGCTTTTGCTGGAAGGTCGATATGAGGAGCTCACTTAAGTAAACACTACACTTAAGTAAAAGCACTACACTTAAGTAAAATTATTATTCCAATCGAATTAACGAATAATTTTGTGATAACGTCTATCCTAAGTTTTGTGCTGTATATTAATTGCATTGTATGTTGCATCGGTTTTCGGCTTATATCGAAGTTTGTTTTATCAAACAGTTATATCAAAATAAATGATTCAAACATGATTCATTATCACAAAAGTGTTCCAATTCCTTCCGTAAAATCTGTAATAATTACTTTAAACCCCATTATTAGAGGGTGACTCTTCTGCTTTTGCTGGAAGGTCGATATGAGGAGCTCACTTCATTAACTAATTCTCAGTACAAGGTTTTGACGCGGATGTTTTTTTAGTCATTAGACAAATATTCAGGTGTCACAGGATTTAAACCTAGTAAGGTATTTGAAGGCTCTCAAGCTACACATCTAATGGTCAATTGTCAGTGGTCATGTATTTTTGTAGCGCCTTCCACAATGCTTTTAAGAAACTGAGAAACTACAACGAAAATTAATTTATGAACATGTGCGAACGCAAAGGGGAGGTCGAAGAAGGTGCACACCCCGATTTTGATATAGCGTCGCTATCACACCGTATACACACAGGTACCCTGGCGTCAGTAGCTTCCACATAGCCTTACTACTTACATTTTGTTCTTCCCCCCACCCCTATGATCCGATCCCACAATATCAATTCCTATTGTAATATTGTTAACTTTGTCGCTATGTCTTAACGATTTATTCGCATTGCCAAGGCCGCCGAGCTTAATAGGATAAAGATCCAGGTGAAACTTGAAATGAAGCCCATGTACACACGGAAGAAGGCCATATCCCAGCCTGAAAGAAAACCAAAAAAAGGTTAGCAGTTTACGAATTGATTATATATAATAGGTGTTTCGACCAAGATGCAGTTATACCTGAGTAGTTGTACGTGCCCTTCCTGTTGTTACCTGTAGTGGCGCTTTACCAAATCCAGTTCTCATCATCCAGCATGTGACCACTTGACCCGTTGTCAAACCGGCTTGCTCACGACAAAACTAAGGTGCGCATTTGACCTTTTGACACTGGCGCATTCTTAAACCGAATCACACTGCCAACACCACTACGTTAAAGCCAAGGGTGGCGCCAGGGGGGGGGGGGGTGTTGGGGAGAAAAACTACAATTCGCCAGGAAGGAAAAAAATATATGTATTTTCTACATATTAGTACTCTAAAATCGATTAATTAAGCCTTTGAAACCTCTAAATAGTTAAAATTATTGGGGGCTTCGACCCCGGGCCACTTAAAAAAATATTTTAAGCGTCGTTTGGCCACGCCCACTCACCTATCGTCGGAGAAATCTTCCCCCTTGTCGAGGCATTTCCCCCTCCTCCACCTGTCGAGGCATTTCCCCCTCCTCCACCCGTCGAGGACCTCGGACCCCCGTCGGGCAAATGCTGGCGCCACCCCTGGTTGAAGCACACGACCCTTACCAACCTAGGTGTTTCTCTGGGTACGTTACCACCCGGGGACCACCCTCTCATGGTGCATTGCTACTAGACCATTACCGACCGAGGCCTGTTGCCACTGGGTACATTATTTTCCACTGACCATTTTCCTTTGGCCAAACTATGCGTTTGTAATGAGTCCGGGTGTCACCCATTAACTTTGACATTTGTCCATTTCATCTTACCTCGCCCTAAGATTCCTCTCATTGCTTCTACAGCGTACGACTGCGGCATGATCAAACAGAAATATCTGAATGGATTTGGAATGCCCTCAAGCGGCCAAATGATACCTGTAATGAATAAATATATACAGTATTATTACGATAAAGATAAGAGATACAGGACAGTATTTGAGTGATATCATGATGTTCAAAATGGGTGATTTTGTTAGGCGTACGCAATAAAAACTCCCCCTAAGAAAACACGCGTCCACAGTAACCTCCTCTCCCCCATTGACATGTTCGTATCAAAAAATCACTCTCAAGTAGATATAAATCACATGTCACCTTTTTTTTTCGAGCTGGCACCCCTTACATACCGTCGAGTCCCGTACTTCACTTTCAGCCCACCCCAACCATTTCGAAATCTCAATATACCCACTGTTAACACATACAATTGCAGATATCATATAGGCCTAATAGATGAAGTTTAGTTTACAAAATATGTGGTCCGTACAATTTTTAATAATTAAAAATTATAAATTGTCTTCTCTAATACGATTTACATTGGAGGTCCAGTGTACAAAGCTGGTTCGTGTACGTTTCAAAGACCCCCATTGCATCTTTCGGAAGTGTAGCGGGCTACCCCACTGCTATAGTCCATTTTGAGCCCTGTTGTTGTGAAATGATGTTATCATGTAGCTATAAGCGCCTCTCGGCCACTTGGTAGTCGCGGACCACGCCAATAAGCAATTTAGCAAAATGACGCTGCGAGATATGGGTTATTTTAACGAAATTAAATAGAAGATTCTAGGACTCAAATTATAGTAATTGACTATTTCACTTACCGCTAAGTAGTGTCAGTGGAAAGAAGGAGCCAAGAGAGGCTTGCATTGCAGTTACTTCGTTATCACACACAGCCGAGATAACCATCCCGAACCCCATACCCACGACCCCTTGCAAGAGGGCTAGTACGATGACCAATAATAAAGATCCTTCATTTGCTATCTAGGTATATAAAATAAAACATGTATTGGGAAACCACCAGCATTATTTTATTTTAATCGCTTACTTCATCACAGCATTCACATGATAACGCTCTTAAGAACGGAAGCATCATAAGCCCGATAGGCCTATAAGACAAAAACGACCCAGTTTAAAGCTTAATCCTTTGTACAATCAAATGTACATGGACTTTAAAGATATTGAGGCCAAAACACCATGGATTTGTTTTATATCATTTAACAGTTCATTAGTCGATTGGTTGAAATAGTTGACTCAGCCCTGATAATGGATCAAGTTGCTGATTAGTTGAGTATAAGTGATTGGCTGGCTGACTAATCGATCGATCGAAACATAAATTGATTGTCTAATTGATTGATCGATATATGTATGTATATGATCCGTTGCCAATCAGTTGTGAACAGACTTAACTTTTAGATATAGAAATATGTTAGGGAAGATTGTCTTACATTGAAAACGGAAAGAATGAAGACGAGGACGACAGCTGTCTGAACAGTCATCACAAAGAACTGAACAAACGCATGCGCTAACACCACTTCTGTTGAGGTGACACCTACAGATAATAATAGATATTGTAATCCATTAGATGTATTTAACGAGTGATTTTCGACCAAAAAAGAGTATCAGAAAAGTATCTATTAATTTTAACTCATACCGGCAACCCAGGCACGATCCAACAACCCCTCCTTGCGTTCCACGACAAATGTCACGCTCGTGAGTGATACAGCCAAGAAAAAGATGATACTAAAGATAATCGGAATGGAAACATATTTAAGGAAATCCATGCTACTAATAAAAATTGTTTTATTTGAACTTTTTTAGAAAAACATATTGTTACATCGGGATTTAAACGTTTTATGTACTTACCAAATGATTATACCAGGTGCCATAAAATCTCTGAATGTCGAGGTATCATTACCAAAGATTGGGTCACCAAACTATGGATAAAGAATCATGTACATTAACATATATCTCTGACTTTTTACTAGTACGTAAAAAGTAAATTCGTACCATATCAGCTTTGAACGTTAATTTCCATCAACCTATCTTTAACAAACGTATTGGTAACAAATCTTTTCCGTGCGAGGCGCCACTCATCTGGAATAACCTTCCAGTGCACATTCGATCTTCACCATCTGTGGCTCTCTTTAGGTCTAACTTGAAGACTCACCTCTTTAACTAATTGTCCCATTTTTATTCTTATTTTGTTTATTGTTGCATTACTTATTTAGGATTCCAAACTTTGCCACTGCTTCTTTTGATTTGTTTACTTGTTCTGTGGTTTTTAGCAATGATCACGGCTGCTTGTGGGTTGTGAGGTGCCTAAATATGTGGGATGCAGCGCTTCGTATCTGCAAAGAAAGGCGCTTTACAAATGTTCTGATTGGATTGGATTTGAACACACATACGCCAATTAATTGTACAGTTGCGTAACAACACCACCATCACGATGATCAATTTAATTTAATTACACAATATTTTACGTCGGTTGCTCATCCAGCTCAGGATCCATCATTTTTGACAGTTTTAAAGTGTTATTTCTTCCGGGTGTTTGATGAAAGTGTATATTCTTAAAATTTGCTCTCCTCAGCGCCAATTAGGATAGTGCACCCCATATCAGACAGACCCTGGATACATTGGTCAGGGAATCTCTAGCGTCGCCATTGGTCCAGCTCGTCATTTAGAACCCTCGGTATTCAATCATAACAATTTATTACTAGTTCATCATAATTATCGTGTTCTTCAGATTCAATTAGTCCATTGAGTCTTTGCTATTATTAAACAAAAACATCACCATGTACCTCGTCTCTATAGCTTGCTTGTACCAGTTGATAAACGACAATAATTAGATACTACTACTACTAGCAATTATCATTTATATATTTTTTTCTTTATCAAAAACTTTATCATTAATAAGTCTTTTGATTGCTATAGTATCTACATTAAGTTGTATGTACTTCGTTGGGATAATTGAACAATGGAATGTTGGTATTGTATACTGATACATGAATTCAGATAGTGAATTTATTATTGCAAGAAATATATTTCATAAATCCAAGATGATAGGTTTTATCTGCTTTTCTGATTGATAAATAATTACCAGTAATAAATTTTAATAATAGAAATGGATAAGAGTCTTGGTCTTTAATACACTGTATAGATTGACTTGCATGCACTCACCTCCAATGGAACACGAACAGTAGCTGGATTAATCTGTGGATAGTGTGACAGCAGATCACCGAGAAATTTCTACGAATAATAATAATAATAATAATAGTAAAAATAATAATAATAATAAAAATAATAATAATAATAATAATAATAATAATAATAATAATATAATAACATTACTATAATAATAATCATAATAATAATAATAATAATAACAATAATAATAATAATAACAATAATAATAATAATAACATTACTTGAAAGAACCATTTACAGTACAATAATAACAATTTACTGTTATCCTATAATAACAATTACCTCAAATGCATCAGATATGCGTGCTTGCAAAGTTATAAACACCTGTTGATCTGTAACGATAATATAGGCCTATATATATATATATATATTAAATAATATATATATATATATATTATATAGGCCTAATATATATAATATATATATATATTAAAGTACATATTATATATTATAGAAAATATATATTATAGAATATATGATAGTATAATTATAATTATTAATATTATTATTTTAGTGATTACAAACAATTGGCTGGTTTTACAATTCCATTGTAAAACCAACTTAATATATAACTTACTCGTCTGGTCCAATCGTACGTAGATTGTACTACCACTTACAGTTTCGTTATCTAAATCTGGAACATCTGTAAATCTGAATTATAAAACAAAAAACAAAATGGATATGTGAAAATAATATTAGTTATTATAAAAGCCACGTTATTATGTGTTCAAATTGTTTTTGAACAAATACATCTGACAATAATTGTCTAGTTCAGTGTAATTTTAGTCTAGTTCAGCTCTTGCTGAACTGTTGGTTCACATTCGCGACAATGATGCACAAAAAAAAATCGAATAATCATAAACAAATGTTATGTTTTAATTTACTTTACTCAAACACAGTGTCATTAATTAATCAAATTAATGTCTTCTCCAGACTCTCAAAAATCTGGAGAAGACTTATTTCCGCTGGGGTCCATTTAGTGGTGATTGGGAAGTACACCGGGAGACAATCCCCTATTGTTTTCTGAATAGTGCACCGCGTTCTATAAGGTGCACACTGGGCCATATTGCACACGGCACCAACGGTTTAAACGTCTTCATCGAGACGGTGCGCTGTTGAAACACAGGGGGAGCGCGATTGAACCGGGACCAAGCGTACACCACCAGTTTAGCCGACTAAGCTAAGCTGCTCTTAAATTGTTCCCATTGCATTGTAGTGTATTTATATATAATGTATAAATTATTTGTAGAAAAACTTTAAGTAAAACAAGAAAAACACATTATCTTAAATAAATAATTCTGATACCGTTTTATCAAATAGAAACTGTAATTGTTTGGAATATCAATGGTGCCCCAATCGTTTCCTTTGAAGGCACTGTCCAGAGCCAGTTTCATATTCTCCTTCGGATGCTAAAAAAAAACAGATAAAATATATTTATTTATAAAATATTTATTTATTAAAAACCAAAGAAATTAAGGTGATACGAAAGTGTTGCCAAGATATATGGGTTCGTGTGGGATTAAATCAATTGTAGAGTCTACCAATATGTAGAAAATACATATACTTCTATTCTATCGACGAATTGTGCTTTTCTACACTGGGGCAGCTCTCCTGATGAGGTCCTTGTAGTAATAGTAGTGGTGGTGTTCGTGGTGGTGGTGGTGGTGGTGTGGAGGTGGCTGTGGCGGTGGCGGCGGTGGTGGTAGGAGGAGGAACAGTAGTAAGAGGAGTAGGCCTATAAGGAGGAGGAGTGTCTCTACGGCTATGTATCCTTATTGTTGCCAGCATCATTTAGTACCTGTATTATCGTTTCATTATCCAGATTCCATAAAAATTGTTGACCAAATTCTAGAGGTGTTGTGTCACCATTCACAATTGCCATTCCTAGATCCGTGGGGTCGTTTCCAATACAAACACAGAAGAGGCAAGCCTGGATTAACGGCACAAGAAAACTGAAGAATAAACCCCTGTAAGGAAACATAAATTATATACAAGATGCCTATCAACATTTTAAAGAAATAATTAACACTATGGAAGATATTGTATTAGGCCTAATATTAAAATACAATTATAACCGTACTCATCCCACCTAGGCTTCAGGAAGTATAAACATCCCTATTGATTTTATTTATTTATTTATTTATTTATTAGGAAAAATACTTCAGGCAAATGTTACTGAGACTCATATTGAATAGTTTGCGTAAAAACAATTTTTTGCCCAATTTTTTTACATTTTTGCGATTATCGCGGTAAAAATGTTGAATAAGAAATCAACAAAGAAATCGAAAACAACGACGACTCTGTTGTAACAACGCCTGATGCAAGAGACCGTATGCAATATAGCTAACTTTTCTACAGTATTATGGGCACACAGAATAGGTTGGTTTTACTTAATTATTATAGTAGGCAAAGAAATGTTGGTAAATTATGAAATATAACGTTTACGTTGTGGTTTTGAAAACTCCCAATTTTTTTTCGCAGACATGTGACGTCAAAACATGGTCTTAACCTGCACATACAGTATACTACACAACTCGTTGCAAAACTTAGTAGAAAACAGAAAATCACGGATAAAGCCGGGCACTCACTCTGCGGCCGACGTCGTCCCGACGCGGTTTTATGAAGAACGCAACGCGCACTCAACTGATCGTTTTTAATTACGATTCGTTCAGACTGCCACCAACAATCAGCAGCACACAGCGAGCAAAGTTAGATTCGTCGGCCGATGGTCGTACGACCTTTGTACAACGCATGAGTGCCCGGCTTAAGACTCTTACATTGGATTACGTATCAACTTCAGTATATCTTTGAACGTCATAGCTGTTACTATTTGTAGTCTCGGGCCATAACATGAAGTACAAGACTTCTTTGCCTTTTCTGAAAATCAATGAAACTATGATTAAAATCGTATAGATAATTTTAACAATGAGATGAACTTTAACTCCTGTATTTAGCTAAAACTACCAGTAGACATAATTAACGTAACGCGACAACCCTGTTCATACACATCATTATACTCAGTTCGTCATCCTTTTTTTTTTTTTTTTTTTTTTGGTTTATTATTTAACAGGTGCGGCTGTATTTAATCTCCGTCTAAGACGGGTATATTTCTAGTACATACAATATATATTGTTATAAGTATCCAGCAACTATATAATTATATAATATACATCCATACATATATATATATATATATATATATATATATATATTATAGTCAATATGACACCACAATTATCATCCTACCATCATTATCACCACCTTCATCTTCATCATCAACATCAATTTGATCATTATGCTTATGATCTTGATTGTGATGATTAAAACTAATTGTTTAAGTTTCCCATAGGTCTATTATAAATCACTAACTTGACGAATTGCCGAGCAAAGAAGTAGTTTCATCCGGGTCTTCTGTACTGGTGTGTGGTTCGTCTGCACTACTGCCTCTTGAACTGCAACTGATTCCATTTTGAAAGCAGACCTCCTCGTCTTTTTTATTTCCATCATCAGTTTTGACAACAAAACCAGTAGCCTTAACATAATTATTCATCCAATTATTGATAAGAGAGAATGCTTAACTTAGTCTAAATAGCAACATATAAAGCTTCGATCGGTGGGGGACAGGGGAAACACACCACCACCTCCCCACATTTCAAAGTGGGAGGTACATAATATCAATCGCTCCCTCCCCATTATCCACCATTCATTTTGAAGCAAGTGGAAAGAACATAATGACGAGTGACTATAAGTTAAATCATTATTTTCATGTTAGTCTGCACAAAATATATAAGTGGGCTTTTGATTATGAATACCAGGTAAATTGATAGTTTACCCAAAGAGGCCGGAGACATGCTTTTGTTTCGTATTGGGCCTTTTTTAAATAAACTCAAATGGCATTTTCGGGAGACGTAAGGCTGGCAAATTTTGGCAATAACTTTTTTTTTCTTTTATTGAGAAATTTTAACATTTTTAATCGTTTTATAGAGTATTTTATCCTTTTTATTATTAGGCCTATATTTATTATTGAAAACTGTTTTGTATTTTTATATGAATTTTTTTATAAATCTCTTATATCTTATATATATATTGTGTTTGGCGACCCACTCGATAAAAAATTGAATCTCTTTTTGGGAAGCCTGCCTCCTTTTTGTCTGTTTTTGGTGTGTTCTTTTTGTAATCTGTTAAGGCGAATAAATGAATTGAATTGAGACTGTTCAAGTAGTGTGGAAATAGTGTTAATTGTAAATTGTTATATTCAAAATCAGTTAAATACGACTTACAAAGGCTAGAACGAATCTTCCAGGGGCTTACTCACTGACCCTACCAGGGCTTTGCCTCTGGATCCCACCTGGGCCCCAGTCAGATCTTGAGCCTACGGCCTAAGACTTCGTTTTTCCCCATTCGTCCACGCTCGCAACAACTTTAAGGCACTGATCGACGCCCTTGCCATAAACTCGATAATATGTATGTAACCCCTGAACATTACTCAGCTCAGGCAATATGGTAATATTCACACAAACTCTGGTAGGCCTATTATTGAATATTTGCGAAACGACAAATTAATGCTTCAAGTATTCACATTCACTGAGCAAAGTTGATCCTGGTTAATACAAAGGATATCTTTCCAACTATTGAGGTTATTGATTTATTGAAATAAATGATTGATTGATTGATTAATTGATTGATTTATTGATTGAGATTTATTGAGATAAGATCAAACATGAAATTTCCTGCATCACATACCTCTTGATCTACATCTGTAAGTTCCCTCATACAAAGCTTCAGGAACACTTCCTCTAAACTCTGTCAATACATATTACAAATTATATCAAATAGAAACGAATACACAAATATTCGGGTGAATTAATGAAGCACGTTTGCAACTGTGAATCCTCATTGTTAATACGAGGCCTAAATGAATGAAACGCATTAAAGGCAAGATTAAGTATGTCATTAAAATAGTTATTTCCTGCATCAATTCACATAACATCATATTTAAAATGTAAATAGGCGTTAATGATGACTTGCTAATAATTTAGAAAAAAAAAAATCTGAAAATATGGTGTATCACTGGCATCTCTATTTTATATTAAAATGTAGTTTTTAGTAACTCAATTATGATTGCAGGAAAAATCGATTGGAGTTTTTAAATTCCACGAACATATCCTTTTCCAGATGTTTTCGTCTATTGAAATTGAAAATATTTTGTAATTTTTTCTGGTCAATTTAACGTATTGTATTAAACCATGGAGGAAATTAAACAGAGAATAATTGACATAGACCTACGTTTTTCTGGTGATACGCCATGAGGTCCACAGGTGGTGATTCGGACAGAAGTCTGCCATTCCTCATCAACCCAACCTAGCAAAGGAAAACAAAATCATTGTAATAAAATAATATGCGCAAGTTTTTGTTTTAATTATTCTTTGGCATCATCTGAATATCGGGCTTATGTGTCTTTACACTATAAGTATAGACTATAGAGGGCTCACTCTTAAGCAACCTTCATTACTATGTACACAAACAGAGAATTTTAGGCCTATAAAACTCTCTCCAGATTATCAAATTTTCTTTAACAAAAAACTAATGTATGTCCATATAGTCACGGTGTGCCTATATATGGTCATGCTGTGATGTCATCATGACCAAATTTAGGCATGTCACATTTCTTTGTCAAATACAATTTAATAGTCTGGATAGATTCTAAAATAGAGTAATGATAATGGTCCGGTTTTACAAAGTAAAAAGTCCAAGATTTATTATTAAATTCAAATTTATAAAAACATTACCGTATTGACTTACAATATGCGCTTGTTTTGCTTCCTCGATATAGTGGGTTGTTATAATGATTGTTGTGTCACCGCCTTTAGCAATGTCCATAAGATGATCCCATATTCTAGCAAATTAGAAATTAAACGTCTAATTTTCAAATGAAAGCTAATAACTCATTGAATTATACAGAGTAAGCAATTTAATTTTTTTTTTTTAACCATTGATGATATTATTGGAAAAGAAAACCAGTAATGTCATATTGCAAAACCTAACACTACTTACTTCATTCTGAGGAGAGGATCAACTCCAACAGTAGGTTCATCAAGGATGAGAAGTTCCGGTGAGTGGAGAAGCGCCACGGCAAACGATACCCGTCTTTTCTGTCCTCCACTAAACGAAAGATGTACAATAAAGGTGTCTAAAGAGTCACACACACACACACACACACACACACACACACCTGTCTCTTATACACATCTAGATGTGTATAAGAGACAGGTTAAGGCGAATAAATGAATTGAATTGAGACTGTTCAAGTAGTGTGGAAATAGTGTTAATTGTAAATTGTTATATTCAAAATCAGTTAAATACGACTTACAAAGGCTAGAACGAATCTTCCAGGGGCTTACTCACTGACCCTACCAGGGCTTTGCCTCTGGATCCCACCTGGGCCCCAGTCAGATCTTGAGCCTACGGCCTAAGACTTCGTTTTTCCCCATTCGTCCACGCTCGCAACAACTTTAAGGCACTGATCGACGCCCTTGCCATAAACTCGATAATATGTATGTAACCCCTGAACATTACTCAGCTCAGGCAATATGGTAATATTCACACAAACTCTGGTAGGCCTATTATTGAATATTTGCGAAACGACAAATTAATGCTTCAAGTATTCACATTCACTGAGCAAAGTTGATCCTATACGTAATAATAATAATAATAATAATAATAATAATAATAATAATAATAATAATAATAATAATAATAATAATAATAATAATAGTAATAATAATATAATTATATATAATTTACATGTAAAAATACTTACACGAACAGAAAAAGAACTTGAAGTTTGAGGAGACTTGTTGTCACCCTGTGGGGGGGGGAGGGGGTAAACAGAACAAAGTATGCTCCAATGAATGATAATACACTATTTGAATAATACACTACGGTATTTATCATGATGACCTCTAGTTATTTATTTAAATTTATACCTACATTGTGTTAACTGTTCGTATGTCTTATAAATCGCTCATCGATTGAGTAATGTCATAAGGTTCAAATCCTATCGATATTTCCATCTTGTAACACAAATAACGTTTACGATAGTAATTCAGGCGTCCCAAGCACACGAATGCTACTATTAAAGTCTTCTTACTATAGAAGTACTGTATCATTATTATGTACTTTACTGTATTCCAAAATTCAAATAAATTTCTTTCTTGATACGTCATGGCCATGCACACAGCCCCATACCTATGTCGCTCAATGAAAGGATCATTGGTCCAATGGCGTAACGCTTAGGGGTGAGGGTGACGGGGGCCCTGTGGCTTTCTGAGACTGAAGAACCTTTTTGCGGGAATGTAGATGTTCTCGATTTTTTTTATCATGTTTGTCATTGTATTCTAAATGTTTTCAACGACGGAATGCGTCATATGTCTGTGGCGGATTCAGGTATTTGAAATAGAGGGGTTGGTAGGGAGGGACTTTCACAGATGGAGGGTCTATACGACCGCCTCAGCTCCACCATGGTTGGGATTAAGGTAAGAAAAGTTATGATTATGGCACCTCGGATGGCCGGAAATGGCACTCACAGACTTAAATATTAATAAGCAATTTAATTATAAATTATAAAATTAACCTTAATATATTTTTGTAATCTTAAATAAAACCTGTAAATATGCAATATAAATCAATAATTAATTCTTTGTATTTTTTAAATCATTTTGTAATCATGTGTAATGTTCATGTAATTTTTTTCTCGCAATTATTAAATTAATAATTGTTTCGCAATCGTTTGTACGATAATATTTATTAAATTACGTAATTCTAGCAAAACCAAACTTATGTTAATTAAAAATAGAGATGTTCGCCCCCTTTCCGCTTTGAATATTCATGTTGGTAATGAAACCATTGATGAGGTAAAAAACATCGGGACTTCAAATTGATGAAAACCTTACCTGGAATGACCATATTCGAAAATTAAATAAAACTATTGGGTACAAAGTTAACATCCTAAATAAATTAGCAGAAACACTAAATGAATCTCTTCTGCTGAATCTGCTCTGTAATGAATGGATCTTTAAAAATCTCTGGAGCAAAAGTTTTGAACAAAATCCCAATCAGAATTCAAGAATGTCAATCTCTTAATTTATTCAAAATTACTTATAAGAAACACTTTTTCTGATTATCTCAATTCATTTCCTTTTATATTTTCTTTGTCTATACTTTTAACATTTATTCCCGGCCCCGAAACTTGGACTCAGAAGTACCGGGATGGTGTCCGGCGGGGGATAGTTTTTAACCATTGTTTAGTTAGGTTTGTAGTTAAGATAAAAGTTGTGACAGCCCCGAAACCTTGACTTATAAATACCGGGATGGTGTCCGGCGGGGGATAGTTTCTACCATTTTTATCTATTTAAGTAATTGTACAGTATTTGTCCTACGTGGTAATCCCAGCCCCGAAACCTTGACTCAGAAATACCGGGTTGGTGTCCGGCGGGGGATAGTTTTTACCATATTGTAGTTAAGTTGTAGTTAAGCATAACCTTGAGCCGTAATTCCTAGCCCCGAAACCTTGACTCAGAAGTACCGGGTTGGTGTCCGGCGGGGGATAGTTTTTCACCAAAGTTTTAACTGTTGTTTATTTGTACTGTGCTGGTTACTTTTTGTTGTTGTTATTGTAATATGTGTTTGCAGGAGCATATTGTAAAACAGCGGTAAGATCTCGCCTGTACATGTTATCCTGCCTAAAGATGTTTTTAAATAAATAAAAAAAAATAAATAAAGTATATAAACCGTAATAATTCAATCAATTCATTTATTAAATAATCTTAAAATACTGTTGTAGTCTTAAAGAAACGTTATGAATTTTACAATATAGATTAAAAATTAATTCTTTTAATTGTTTAGGGCGTTTTTATATATATATTTTATTACCTTTCCTATTTTGTGCAATATTTATGATCACGCATGCGTTTCTGCAAAATGCGTGTTTCATCCTAAATCACTTTAAAATGCGGGACCGTCCCGCACGATGCGGGACGGTTAGTAGCTATGATACTTACATGCTTCCTTGTGGAACCCTCAGATTGATACCATTCAAAACATTTAGTCTCTGTCTACCAGAGCCGTAATGATGATATACATTGCTGGCAAAGACTGCTGATTTTGCTGATTGGATTGCTGGTTTCTATCAAAGAACACGTAGATTTGTATTTAGTCTAAATTATAAATATTATATTTAAAAAAATAGTTGATTTCAGTGTGCAGGAAAATGATCTAAGCAGCAAAAAAAAGTCACCACCTATCCCATTATTTAAACAGCTAGTGACCCCCACCTAATCATCGAGCCCCCCTACTTAACCTTCACCCATCAGTCCATTATTTCAATACTCCTTGCCTCAGGGCGGGTTCAGAGATGTCCGAAAAGTGGGGGGGGGGAG